TGGGCTGGGGGTGTATCTCAAAACTTAAACTTGAGGAATTATGTTTTATCCTGCATTGAACCTTTCAGTTGCCCCCTTAGATAGCCATGAACTGCGAGATTAATATACACGATAAGATTAGAGCAGACATTTTAAGTTGGTTTTGAACTATACTACTTAAAAGAAGTTAAAGAACACCCGAATCTTATAGCTATAGTTAATCTGTAATGGCCTTAGAGATTCGGGTGTTCTTTAATTTTTCTAGTAGTATATTTCAATCGAAGTAAAGCTACAGTCACACAGACAATGCGACCGCGATGCAACCTCTTTGCGACTGATTTCCTTTGCGACCGACTGAGATCGCTGAGACCGGTGCAACTACTTCTGTCCATAATTGGAATAAGCGTATGATCGCCGATCAATCAGCGATAGGTTTTGCAACTTGTCAGTGATTGATCGGCAACTGTTCACCGCAGATACGGCGAAATGTTTGCAACCGGTTGAGACCGATCGGTGACTAGTCAGCGAATCGTCGGTGACTTGTTGCAACTGAACGGGGACTGGTCCGTGACTAGTTGGTGATCTATCACCGATCAAAACATAATGGTTTTATGAATAAAATCATTTCTTTGCAAGTTGTCCAGATGCTAACAGCAGAACAGTTGCAGTTGCTCCGCCTGCAAAGAATAAATTAAAATGCTGCAGTTGCTGCCATGATGATGTACAGAAGAATGAGAAGGACAAGACGAAATCAGTATTGACTGTTGTCTCCTATTGTATCTTCTACAATTTCTGGCTCTTTTGTGTTCCTGCGTTTACGGACCATAGTGATGAATGGAAATAATTTATGTGAACTCTCTGAGTACTTATGGCAAAATGATTCTGTAATGCACAGAAAGGTCTTTTTCCAGACGGTGACATGTTGCAAAAACAACGGCCAATGATCGACGCACGCTTGGAAACCACTTTGCAACCTGATCGACAACCAGTCACCGATGAAGCGCCGGTGGATCACCGCCTCATCACTGATCAATCACCGATAGGTCGCCACTAGGTTGCAAAGAGTCAACACATGTCTCCAAGTCACGTTAGTACCGGGTTTGTCCACCATGAGCGTCAATACACGCAAGGACACGTCTACGGGCTGATGACGTCAGACGTCTTATGACGTTGGGGGTGGGGGGGGGGGAGGTTCATGGAGGAGGCATTGTTCCAATTCATGGAGGTTAATTGGAGGCACAGGGCGATTCCTGACTTTGCGGCCGAGAATGTCCCACATGTGTTCGATTGGGTTCATGTCCGGTGAACATGCCGGCCATGGTAAAACGTGAATGTTGGCGTTTGCTAGGAAGTTATGGGTCAGCCTTGCCGTGTGAGGCCTCGCATTATCGTGCTGGAAAATGATACCATTAGGCTGTTGTAGGATTAATGGCACCACAACTGGTTGTAAGATGTCATAACGATAACGCTGCGCATTCAGGTTTCCTCGAATAACGACGAGTCTCGTTTTGACGTCACCGCAGATTCCACCCCAAACCATTAAACCTCCGCCTCCATATGGCCTGACTTGATGGATGCAGTTCGGTGACAAACGTTCACCTACTCTTCGGTACACACGATGCCGGGCGTCGTTCCTGAAGATGCAAAATCTGCTTTCGTCAGAAAACATGACACGTGCCCAGTTCCACCGTTGCCACCGTCGAAGTCGCCTGGCCCATATTCGTCTGTTGAGTCGGTGTTTAGGTGTCAGGAACGCTCCGCGGTAGGGGCGACGTGCTCGGATACCATGTGCCCGCAGTCTCCTGTACAAGGTTTGTCGACTTATCACGTGTCCCAGTGCCGTCCGTGCCGTTAACGTCGCCGTTACGAAGCGGTCCCGAAGGTGACGTACCCGGATGTGGCGGTCTTCAATAGGCGTGGTCACCCGTGGTCTCCCGGTTCTCGGCCTGTCTGCTGTCCGACCTGTTTGACGCAACCACTGCATTAACCTGGTGACGGTTATGCGCGCGCATCCTAACCTTCTGGCGACGTCGCGGTGCGTAGCTCCCTGTTGGAGCAATCCCTACGGCTCTCTCGCTCTCAGTCGCTGTCAAACGTGGCATTTCTTTTGTGTGCTTTTTGTTGCTGTGATCCCAACGTGTCGGGTCAGCAGTTTTATACAGAAGATATGCACGTGCATTTCGTGTTACGGGACGGAACGTCATTTGGGCAAATTGCACGCTTTTTTCTCAATTGATCAAATGTTCCCGGTTTTATCGACCGAATACGTTTGGTTTGGAACGTAGGATACGCAAAAGTACCTTTTCAGACGAAAATTAACTCTTCATAATAAAATATTTAGAAAAATGTGTGGTATCGTTTCTTTTGGACATTAGTTTACATTCTTTTAAAAATGAGTCTTTCAAATAATTTCCCAAGACAGGATAACAGTGAAATAGGCCTGTAGTTGGAAGGGTTGGATTCATCTCCCTTTTCGTACAAAGGCATTACATTAGCAAGTTTCCACTGTGATGGGAATGTGCTTTGTTCAAGAGAAAAATTAAATAACAAGCGTAAAGGTTTGGCTATGGATAGTGATATATATTTAAGTAATCTGTGATTCAGGTTGTCGGGACCGCTTGCTTTATTTACCGGTAGGGACTTTATGAGATCTGTTATTTCTTGACTCTTAATAATGGTATAATCCAATTCATGTTCACATAGTTTAACAAATGGTGGTAGTGAGGCGCCTTCATCAACTTTGGAAACTGACGTAAAATAATCGTTGAGAGCTTCAGCTTTATCAAAATCAGAAAACGCTTCAGGTACAGTATTGTTGTTACTGACCAGAGGTGGGATCTCGGTACTGGCTCCAGACTCTTGGATCAAGTGACGTAAAAGTTTCCAATAATTAGAACTGTTTTCCTTGATTTGTGTAGATAATAATTCATCTAAGTTAAGATAAAAATTTTCCTTGGCAGCTTTCTTCAAATTGTTTACTTTATTTCTTTGTTTTCTATATTTAGATAAATCGCGTTCATTGCATGTTCGTCTACCTTTTTTTCTCAGTCGATCTCTTATTCTTATTTCTCTACGTAGTTCACTATCAAACCATGGTTTATCTTTTGGCCTTATTGTGACAGCACGGCTTGGTATGCATAAGCTTATATAGTTTTTAAATGTGGACAGAAAAATATCACATATTTCACCAATAGACTCGCAGCTATTAAACATGCACATCCAATCAGTTGATTCAATCAATTCATTTAACTTCGCATAGTCACCATCTTTATAAATTAGAACCTCTCTCATATAGGATTTTTTCATGTCAATGCAGGTCGTTAGCGAAACAAAAACTCCCTTGTGGTCACTTATATCCGTGCTGAAGTCGACAACACTCGACTCTATACAATTGCAATCGTCACTGATAACAATAGGGTCAAGCAGAGTTTGTGAATGCTGAGTGACGCGTGTCGGCTCTTTAATTACATTACGTAAACTCATCCTCACTAAAATATCGTGCAGATGGTGAAGGTTGCTGTTGAGTAAATCTTCGTTAAAACCACCGAGTAGAACAACGTAAGGCGTATAATCTAGAGCAGTTTCAAGTGAGTGTTCTAGTTGATCCCAATACAACACAGGGGTGTTAGGTGGTCTGTACCACGCACATAATAATATTCTCTTCTGAGGCAAGAAAACCTCGAAACACATATTTTCATAATTATATGATTCTAAATCTTCCCTACGTTTAACGTACAACAATGCCGAGAAATATACAATAATACCACCACCAAAACAATTCCTATCCCTCCTATAAGGAGAATGATAAAGGTCTATTTTCAGGTCTTTTGTGTTTTCAGAATCATCAAGGTATGTCTCTGTAAAACATACAATGTCATATTCAGAGATTTGCTCAGAGATACGAGGTAGTTTATATCGGAGACTTCTTACATTAAAGTGGAATATGGATATTTCCTTATTGTGCGAGTTTACTGAAACAGGGCCAGGATGTTTCTCGACATCTCCAGCAATGATGAGAAGTAAGATGAGGATTGGTATAATATTGGAGTTAGTGAAAGCCTGTCACGAACAGAGGTATATGTGAACAAGGCTACAGCTGATGGATAAATAAAAGTGTTCAAAACATCCATGGAATAACCAACTAAAGTAGGCAGTGGATGATTGATTTGTAATGCGGGATTTTCCCTTTTTTAGGTGAGTTGAATAACAGTTGTTGTAATGCAAACCTATCGATGCTCTGTACGCACTCAAATCAGTCACTGGTTAACGCTACCACTTGTACAACTTTTAATTCCCACCACCTAGGGATGCTTCCAACCAAATATGGTTGATATCTATTTCTTAGTTCCAGAGAAGAAGTCGTTTAAAGCAATATTGCCAAATTACCTCTATTTGGCCCCGACTCTGAGTCCCCTGGGGGGTCAGCGCCACCATTTGTACAATTTTTAATCCCCACCACTTAGGGATGCTTCCAGTCAAATTTCGTTAATTTCCAATTAATGGTTCAGAAAAAAAGTCGTATGAAAAAAATGTTGACGTGCGGACGACGTGTCTCGTGATCGGATCCACGACAGTCAAAACTGTAAATGTTAAATGCAGAATGTATAATATCCTTTCAAGAAGCTTACACTCTTCATAGAAAGCCGGGAGAGCGGAAGGTCGGGGTTCGATCCCACATCGCGTCATACCAAAATGGGGGCGGTCGGGTAGCCCTGTTATTAAAGCGTTCGCTCGTCACGCCGGCATTAAGGAGGTAAAACAAGGACTGGTGGGCTTGGCGTCAGTATGCTCTGTCTGAGTTGGGGATTGGTATCTCAGTGGGATAGCACTATAAATCGGCATCAGTCCAGACTAGTACAAGCACCCCCCCCACCCCCCCCACCCCCCCCACACACACGTGCATGCAAGTGCAGTAATCTTGGACGCTATGTTAAACCGTTTCACCTCACCTACACTCTTCATAGTTATGTTTTGCTGGGTCATCATGCGTTTGCAAACATCTTATAACTTCTCTAGGTGAACTGAGATAGTTAACTGTGGCGAACAAGTCTGAGATAGCCAAGGGAACAACCAGGTGCCACGTTATACTTCACCTTCAAGTCTTTTACAAATCTCAGTACATCAGTGTTGGTCATGATGGCGTGTCGAGGCATTGCAGCGTTATTAGTTTGTGTCGTGGGCGTCACTGCTGCTGATCTTTGTTTGGTGAGTAAATCCTACATTCAGTAGAAGGTTGGAAACTAGTCACCACATGGAGAGTCCTATTTACCAGCAATGTCTTCCGCCGTATTTGGCACGACCCGTTCAGGGACCGACCATTTAATTTTCTAGGTTGAGGCTGGGATTGTGTATAGATTTTGTTTCTTAGCAACAAAACCAGATATTTTGTATTTAAAACTATGAGCCTGAATGTTCTTGTTTTTTTTTAGAAAAAAACCCTTGCAATAATTTAATTTTTGTGACAGGCAATTTCTTTTTTTCAACAGTCTGAAGGATAATTAATTTTTTTAAAGTATTTTCGTGGACAGTTCATTATTTTGATAGAATCCTAGCCCGAACCCCTAGAATATCAAATTGTCGATCCTATAAATGAGACCATTTCAACGAAACCTATAAACTTGGACTCCATTAAAGATAGTCATCAACTCATATTAAAAGACTGGAAGACCAGAAGTAACCTGACATAAATGTTTCAATGCAATTCCCTTTCTGCACACGTAAGCAGAACTACATCTTGTTAAAAAAGTATCTCGCAAAACAAACAATTAATTGAGCTTACATTTTACTACCCTGTGTTTTGTAACATATCTCTTATTAAATGGCCGATCTAGGGCTATCATTAACTTAAAATATCGCAAGTAAAACTTAGTGCTTGCGATGAAATCCTTATCAACACTTTATATATGGTCAGTTATCAGCACTGTGGTTGTCGTGAAATACAGAACTTGAGTTCACGAGATTTCACTGCATATTGCACGGTTCTTATATGGGCACGAGCTTGATACCAAGGTAGCATTAATTATCCAAATTCTGTATTGAAATAGGCATCCGAGTTAGTGGCTGTTTCTATTTTTGGCGTTTGTTTAGCGATAACAGTACATGAACCCTCTGTTTCAGGATTGTCAAGAGGACACTACCACTGCTGAGCCAGTAGACCTTGTTCTGTATTATGAGTCTATGTGCCCCTACTGTCGCACGTTCATCACCACCCAACTCTACCCTACCTTCACCGCTCTGCCTTCTGGTGTCCTCAATGTCACAATTGTGCCCTACGGTAACGCTAGGGTAGGTACTGTGTCTTGTGTTCTAAGTGTCACAATTGCGCCCTACGGTAACGCTAGGGTAGGTACTGTGTCTTGTGTTCTCAATGTCACAATAGTGCCCTACGGTAACGCTAGGGTAGGTACTGTGTCTTGTGTTCTCAATGTCACAATAGTGCCCTACGGTAACGCTAGGGTAGGTACTGTGTCTTGTGTTCTCAATGTCACAATAGTGCCCTACGGTAACGCTAGGGTAGGTACTGTGTCTTGTGTTCTCAATGTCACAATAGTGCCCTACGGTAACGCTAGGGTAGGCACTGTGTCTTGTGTTCTAAGTGTCACAATAGTGCCCTACGGTAACGCTAGGGTAGGTACTGCGTCTTGTGTTCTAAGTGTCACAATAGTGCCCTACGGTAACGCTAGGGTAGGTACTGCGTCTTGTGTTCTAAGTGTCACAATAGTGCCCTACGGTAAAGCTAGGGTAGGTACTGCGTCTTGTGTTCTAAGTGTCACAATAGAGCCCTACGGTAACGCTAGGGTAGGTACTGTGTCTTGTGTTCTCAATGTCACAATAGTGCCCTACGGTAACGCTAGGGTAGGTACTGCGTCTTGTGTTCTAAGTGTCACAATAGTGCCCTACGGTAACGCTAGGGTAGGTACTGCGTCTTGTGTTCTAAGTGTCACAATAGTGCCCTACGGTAAAACTAGGGTAGGTACTGTGTCTTGTGTTCTAAGTGTCACAATAGTGCCCTACGGTAACGCTAGGGTAGGTACTGTGTCTTGTGTTCTAAGTGTCACAATAGTGCCCTACGGTAACGCTAGGGTAGGTACTGTGTCTTGTGTTCTCAATGTCACAATAGTGCCCTAGGGTAACGCTAGGGTAGGTACTGTGTCTTGTGTTCTAAGTGTCACAATAGTGCCCTACGGTAACGTTAGGCTTAGTATTCTGTCTTTCACAATCAATGTCAACTTTAAAGCCTTACGGTTACGCCAAGGTAGTTATTCTCTCTTCTTGCGTTCTCAATGACACCATAGAGCCCAATGTAGGTATTTTGTTTTTTCAAGGTCACGATAGTAAAGGACAATAAGATACTAAAATCGTAATGACACTAAGAGACAATATTTTACAAATGAAACTGTTTCAGGAAAGGCAGCGGAACGGCACCTGGGAATTCGCCTGTCAGCACGGTTCTGTGGAGTGTCTTGGTAACCTTATCGCCGTGAGTTCGAGAGTGTCTTCATTGCAGATTTTGTAATTTCAAAATACATATTCAGCGTCACTCCTAATTTCTATTCCATAACTGTGACGTGTAACAGATAAAACCTGAATATGAACTCAGACTGCATCTAGTCATCAGTGATAGTTAAGAGAAGAATGTACAGATTTCTATGAACAGTTGGTCATTTTGTATTTTATCTTCAGACATGCGCCCTCAACTATACCTCCTATACACCCAGTGACTACATGCCGTTTATCAACTGTATGGAGACCAGTACGGTTCATGGTCACGAGTTGACCGCCTTACACAAGGTACCCGTCGTTACCCTTTGTGTCAGAAGGCTTCAACATATTTTCACCTTGGATAGGTCAAGACCAGCCTGATCTTCTAGTGCTGTTAGATCGGTCGCTGCGCCCCTTCTCCAGTGGTAGTAGAATATGCTAAGTGATTGCTGCATCCGTGGTTGCCGTGAGGGGCAGTCGTTCACATGCATGTGACTATGCAATGGCCTGCGTCCGTTGTTAATGTCTTGCCGTATATACGCGTGCATGGAACTCCGTCAAAGTAGCGGTGAGGGTTGCTCGTAAGAGTGCACGTGACTACGTGAAGGTTGCAATCGTACGTATAAGGGACCACCGTGTATGGTAGCTGCGTCCGTGGTTGCAATTAGGGGAACGGGGTGGATGGTGGTGGCTGCGTCTGTTGTCTGTGGCTGCAAGGGGGATGGGATGAGATGTGGTGATTGCAAGGAGGGGGATGGGTTGTGGTGGTTGCAATGGGGGAATAGGGTGGGTTGTGGTGGTTGCAATGGGGGTATGGGAAGTGGTGGTTGCAATGGGGAAGAGGGTAGGTTGTGGTGGTTGTAATGAAGGTATGGGTTGGGTGGTGGTTGCAATGAGGGTTATGGGGTGGGTGGTGGTTGCAATGAGGGTTATGGGGTGGGTGGTGGTTGCAATGAGGGGTATGGGGTGGGTGGTGTTTGCAATGAGGGTTATGGGGTGGGTGGTGGTTGCAATGAGTGGTATGGGGTGGGTGGTGTTTGCAATGAGGGGTATGGGGTGGGTGGTGTTTGCAATGAGGGGTATTGGGTGGGTGGTTGCAATGAGTGGTATGGGGTGGGTGGTGGTTGCAATGAGTGGTATGGGGTGGGTGGTGTTTGCAATGAGGGGTATTGGGTGGGTGGTTGCAATGAGGGGTATGGGGTGGGTGGTGGTTGCAATGAGTGGTATGGGGTGGGTGGTGTTTGCAATGAGGGGTATTGGGTGGGTGGTTGCAATGAGGGAAATGGGGTGGGTGGTGGTTGCAATGAGGGGTATGGGGTGGGTGGTGTTTGCAATGAGGGGAATGGGGTGGGTGGTGTTTGCAATGAGGGGAATGGGGGTGGATGGTGGTTGCAATGAGGGAAATGGGGTGGGTGGTGGTTGCAATGAGGGAAATGGGGTGGGTGGTGGTTGCAATGAGGGGTATGGGGTGGGTGGTGGTTGCAATGAGGGGTATGGGGTGGGTGGTGTTTGCAATGAGGGGAATGGGGTGGGTGGTGTTTGCAATGAGGGGAATGGGGGTGGATGGTGGTTGCAATGAGGGAAATGGGGTGGGTGGTGGTTGCAATGAGGGAAATGGGGTGGGTGGTGGTTGCAATGAGTGGTATGGGGTGGGTGGTTGCAATGAGGGGTATGGGGGTGGTGGCTGCAAGGAGGGGTATGGGGTGGGTGGTGGTTGCAATGAGGGGTATGGGGGTGGATGGTGGTTGCAATGAGGGAAATGGGGTGGGTGGTGGTTGCAATGAGTGGTATGGGGTGGGTGGTTGCAATGAGGGGTATGGGGTGGGTGGTGGTTGCAATGAGGGGAATGGGGTGGGTGGCTGCAAGGAGGGGTATGGGGTGGGTGGTGGTTGCAATGAGGGGTATTGGATGGGTGGTTGCAAGGAGGGGTATGGGGTGGGTGATGGTTGCAATGAGGGGTATGGGGGTGGATGGTGGTTGCAATGAGGGGTATGGGGTGGGTTGTGGTTGCAATGAGGGGAATGGGGTGGGTGGTGGTTGCAATGAGGGAAATGGGGAGGGTGGTGGTTGCAATGAGGGGAATGGGGTGGATGGTGGTTGCAATGAGGGGTATGGGGTGGGTGGTGGTTGCAATGAGGGGTATGGGGGTGGATGGTGGTTGCAATGAGGGAAATGGGGTGGGTGGTGGTTGCAATGAGGGAAATGGGGTGGGTGGTGGTTGCAATGAGGGAAATGGGGTGGGTGGTGGTTGCAATGAGGGGTATGGGGGTGGATGGTGGTTGCAATGAGGGGTATGGGGTGGGTTCTGGTTGCAATGAGGGGAATTTGGTGGGTGGTGGTTGCAATGAGGGGAATTTGGTGGGTGGTGGTTGCAATGAGAGGAATGGGGTGGGTGGCTGCAATGAGGGGTAACGGGTGGGTGGCTGCAATGAGGGGTAACGGGTGGGTGGCTGCAATGAGGGGTAACGGGTGGGTGGCTGCAATGAGGGGTAACGGGTGGGTGGCTGCAATGAGGGGTAACGGGTGGGTGGCTGCAATGAGGGGTATTGGGTGGGTTATGGTTGCAATGAGGGGTATGGGGAGGGTGGTGGTCCCAATGTGGGGGATGGGGTGGGTGGTGGTTGCAATGAGGGGTATGGGGAGGGTGGTGGTCCCAATGTGGGGGATGGGGTGGGTGGTGGTTGCAATGAGGGGTATGGGGAGGGTGGTGGTCCCAATGTGGGGGATGGGGTGGGTGGTGGTTGCAATGAGGGGTATGGGGAGGGTGGTGGTCCCAATGTGGGGGATGGGGTGGGTGGTGGTTGCAATGAGGGGTATGGGGTGGGTGGATGTTGCAATGAGGGGGATCGGGTGGGTGGCTGCAAGGAGGGGAATGGGGTGGGTTGTGGTGGCCGATCTTTGGTTGTTGGTTGCAATTTCGTGTCGTTTTATAGTTCAATCTTTCTCGCTGTCACAATATGGCTGAACATTACATTAAACTCACTAACTTACTCACTTACTTACTCACTAACGTACTAACTTACTCACTCGCTGCTGGACACAATGGCCCTCAATACAGATTCTCCTTGTCGTCGTTTCAGTGTGCGGCTGCAAACAACATGTCCGAGGCCGACCTATTGACTTGTGTAAAGAACGAAGATTCCGGGGTGCTGATGCACCAGATGGCGCTGACCACGGAGAATGCCAAAATCAACTTCGTTCCTTGGATTGTCGTGAACGGCCAACACACCACCAGCATACAGAACAGCGCCTACAGGGGGTTGATGAGTTTTGTCTGCAAGACGTACTCTGGGCCAAAGCCGACTGCCTGTAAAGACGTCACAGATGCACCAGTCATAGGGTGACGTCCTCGACAACTGGACACGTGGGATGTGGCTGTAATATCGTCCATGCTTTCGCAAGGGACACTGACATTTCCCATTAAAACATCCGTCTTTCTTTGACGTTAGTTTTTCTTAAATGGATACTGATTTTGTGGTATCATATTACTGCGCCTGCTAAACATACTGATATTTTCAAACAAGTATTACATTCATGGAGGGGCGGTCGGGTAGCCTAGTGGTTAAAGCGTTCGCTCGTCACGCCGAAGACCCGGGTTCGATTCCCGACATGGGTACAATGTGTGAAGCCAATTTCTGGTGTCCCCCGCCGTGATATTGATGGAATATTGCTAAAAGCGGCGTAAAACCATACTCACTCACTCACTCACATTCATGGTGTATAGGAGCTGGATATGAATATTTATTCTTCCTTTAAAACAATTTCTGTTATAATAATGGTGTAAAATGTATTTGACATTTCCGAAACTGAACAAGATAAATAGTTCTGAGTGTTTTTTTGAATTACTACAATATCACTAACTACAATGAGTGAGTGAGTGAGTTTGGTTTTACGCCGCTTTTAGCAATATTCCAGCAATATCACGGCGGGGGACACCAGGGTCTTCGGCGTGACGAGCGAACGCTTTAACCACTAGGCTACCCGACCGCCCCGTAACTACAATGAGCTGAAATACTAGGTACGTTGGCTAAATGACTGAACAACCTCCGGTGATCACCAGGGTGAGAACAAAATGTCACGTCAAGGTCTTCCCTTTTTACTTTTTTCCTATTTCGTTCCTTCAGTATATGATGAGCTTTGGAGCTTCATATGTCTGTCTCAGAGAAAAATATTTGTATTCTCTACAGAGAACATGTATACACGATTATCACACTATTCTCCAATTTATTTCAAGATTCTGATACACGACCTCGCTGGATGCAATTGTAAAACTGTATTAGACGAGTCTCGATTTGTCGAAAGGTTTTGTGAATTTCCTGTAAATTAACAGACATGGCTTGACAAAATTAGTACATAGATATCTGAAAACGTTTCACCAAAAATAACTTTCCAGTCTATCGTGCTTGGAAATGAAATTACTGTGCTTTAGAACATCATGTCATCGTTTGCCTAAAGAAACGCGAAGCTGAACTCAAACTCTGTAATGAATGAGTGAAGTTTGGTTTAACGCCGCTTTGAACAGTTTTTCATTTGCTTCACAGCGTACGTATTATCTTGGTGTGGGAGGAAATAATGCAGGTTTTAGTGAAACCCACGGGCATAGGAACAGTGCAGACAAACATATTCAGGGTGAACCACAATCATAGGTTTCCAGCATGCCCAAGGGACGCAACTCTGCCCTATGTAATGAGCGATTGTCATGTGCCATCCCCACTCTGATGGATTCACATTGAACCCTTTCCACTCCATTATCTGGTAGTTGACATGGGGACTGTGGTATCTTGCGGCTGCAGAGGTTGTTGGCAGAGTTTATGGCTCTGCGTGTGATCAATTGTTCGTCACCTTCTCCCCAAAATCGCTCGTATCATAAGCTATACAGTCCTTCCACCTTACATCCGCCATATAAAGACATATGTTCACCTGCTTCGGTGATGACTTTTTCATCCCCAGCTTCTTCTGTTTGGCTGAGACCGCCTCCGTGGTCTAATGGTAGAGCGTCCGCCCGGAGAGAGGAAGGTCCGGGGTTCGATCCCCAGCCGCGTCATACCAAAAGACGTTAACAGATGGTACTTGTTGTTACCCTGTCTGGCGCTCGGCATTAAGGGGCTAAAACAAGGACTGGTCGGCTCGGAGTCAGTATACTGTGTCTGAGTGGGGTATTCATGTTAAACTGCGGCATGGTATCTCAGTGAGCTAGCACTATAAATCGGCATCAGTCCGGACTAGTACAAGCAGCCACACACACACATACACGTGCATGCACGTCGCTATATAAGTGCAATAATCTTGGACGCGACGTTTAACCCCATTTCACCTCACCTCTGTTTGGCTGAAATGTTTAGCCTGATGGCAGAAGACGGCATCATTCATGATCTTCTTCAGCGCAAGACCCATTCCCAAGCCAAACAGGTGATAAGTGTGCCACAGCCAAGAATTGCATGTAAAAAGAGCACATGCTCACATACATCACTGCCCAGCAGCTGCTTTGATTGATCATGCACCAAATCCTGATCCTTCTTGGAGCTTGCTTGGGTTCTGGTGCCAGGAACAAGTCATGTGCTTCCTTTTCAACATGAGGAAGGAAGATAAGCAAATCTGTGTCATCTCCCACCAGGACAGTGTCTGTTTTTCTTGCAGATGTGACAGCATCTTGTTTTGCCAGCTCTCTCCAGTTTGTCACCCAGATAGGCAATAAAGCCTATTGCTTTGTTCAAGAATTCTTCCTTCTACAATTGAATGACCATTTCCCCCGTGCATCATCATTTTGGCCATTAAAGACAATGTTAGCAGCAGCATGTTTCTGCATAACATATAGATGGTACATAGTTCAAATACGTGATATAACGTAGAACCTCTTGGTCGGGTACCCGGTGAAGTACTATCCAGAATGTACTGGACATTTCCAGGTTCTTGTTGTTTCACTTGGAGGGTGTTCCAGATAGCATCAGCAAGGGTTGCCTTCCTGACCTGAAGATAATTCAAACAATGCTGGTGGGTACCTACAGAGTTCATACTTGAACACTGCTGGTAGATAGATCTTGCAGTCTACTTGTGTGACAGTTTATTTCACAGGGAAATGATCATTCGATCGAAGAAGGAAGCATTCTTGAACACCGCAAAAAACAAACAACCCTTTGTTGCCCGCCTGGGTGATAAACTGGAGAGATCTGGGCGCAGTTCGGTACATACAAAACAGGCGATCATTAACTTGTGTCTTAATGGTGGATGTAAGGAGTAAAGACTGGACAGCTTAAGGCTAAAGTGGTTTTGTGAGAAGGTGACGAAGAACCCACCACATGTAAGCCACCTACTCTGCCGCCATTGCAACCTCTGTAGCCGGTATACCACAGCCTTCATGTCAACTACCAGATAATGGAGTGGAAAGGGTTCAATATGAATCCATTAGTGGGGGTGGCACAGGATAGATGGACGTTGCTTACCAATACAGTCAGATCAGCCTGCAGCACCTTCAGCACTCCTTAATATCTACTGTAATTTTTTTTTTTTTTAAAAGACTATAACACTCAAAGATGCACTTGGCGGAAATATGGCCTAACTTGCAGTGCTGTGTGCAGGAAATACCAAGCTGTACCAATAAACAGTTATCAGACTTCTCAGGGGATGACATACCTGTTGAGACTTTGAGATGCATGTATATATAATGACCCGGCAACGTCAAGCTACAGCATTCGCCGTGTCATTTGTTTCACTGTTCATGGATCACACAATCATGTAACGGAATGAGCAGTGGATAAATAGTTTCAGATTTATATCGAAATAATGGTATTTGGTGTAGATATTGAATTTCCGCAAATTACTACAAGGGAGATAACTCATCGACTTCTTGTGTAACAACAGTTTTGGGTTAATTCTGATAGGACCTCATACAGGTCATACTTGTTTCAAACAAGTATTTACATGAATGAAAACGAAACTTGTTATAGCATTTATTGTCATGTTAATAAGTAGATTCAGACAATAACAATCAACATTGATATCTAAACTCGCCAAAACATGTCATTTAAGAGATACATTTTGCTATTTGGGGGTTGTTTTGGATTTATGCAAATGACTGAGTATTCTACATGCATCCTTGGGTCTGTTTACCCCAATGTAGAAGTTCAAATCACTCAAAAAGTTCATCAGAGACCAACAGTGTATTAATATTCTACGTCTAGCCATCAAACTCTTGGCGGCCATCTTGGAACATTGGGCCACCAGGGGCTCTGGTGACGGAGATTCTATCTAAAAGTGTTAACTATATTTCAGTGAGTTAGTGTGCCAAGTTATATGCATATAAGTCCTAGCACACTGTTTTAGAGTTAAAAGATTCAACAGTGTAAACACACATTTAGGAAACTTGTCGGCAATCTTGAAATTGGCGGCCATTTTTATTTTTTGCAGATTTGTCAATAGTCGAAAACGATCAGTAGTTGTGAATATCTTTTTAGAATTATAATATGGCTATTTCGCAATACAACACATGCTTTTTTTTTCATCAAAACATTGAACCTCATCTGAAATATGGAAGTTTTATTGATAATTGGATTATGCAAATTAGACATATTTCCCAAACTAGGATTGCTTGGGACTTTTAGTATGTTGTTTTTAGGACCTTGTAGAAATGCATTGTGGTGAAATAAATTCTGTTGCAATTTGTTCCAAGTGAAACCTTATTTTGCCTGGACTAGATGAGGTTCATCACATCTTCAAAGGAAGCTACGTTAACCAAGAAGGGCGTTTGCCTAAAGAAACGCGAAGGCGAACCCAATCCCAGTCTCTGATATGTAATGAGTGAGTGAGCTTTGGTTTAACGCCAGTTTTTTATTTGTAACACAGCATATTAGCTTGCTGTGTGAAGAATGCCCGAATTGTACAGGTTTTGGTGAAACCCACGAGCTGACAAACTGAATAGTGCTGACAAACTCTGCCCTATGTTATGAGAGTTGGCGATGGGGTCGTTCCATCTTCAAATGTAGCAACGTGAACCAAGAAGAACATGTGTATATCCCAAAGCGCTACACAAAAAAAAACGGTTCAAAAACGGTTTTTATCCAACACTTATCCTTTAAACTACTCCCTAGGATATTCATGAACTGCTAGATTAATATACACGATAAGATTTGAGCAGACATTTTAAGTTAGTTTTTGAACTATACTATTGAAAAGAAGTTTCTTTCATATTGCTATAATAAATCTGTCACGGAGGTGAGGTGAAATGGGGTTTAACGTCGCGTCCAAGATTATTGAACCTTTATAGCGACGTGCATGTACGTGTGTGTGTTTGTGTGGCTGCTTGTACTAGTCCGGACTGATGCCGATTTATAGTGCCAGCTCACTGAGATACCATGCCGCAGTTTAACATGAATACCCCACTCAGACACAGTATACTGACTCCGAGCCGACCAGTCCTTGTTTTAGCCCCTTAATGCCGAGCGCCAGACAGGGTAACAACAAGTACCATCTTTTAACGTCTTTTGGTATGACGCGGCCGGGGATCGAACCCGGGACCTTCCGCTCTCCGGGCGGACGCTCTACCACTAGACCACGGATACGGTCGTCACGGCATGTGAAAGAATCGGGTGCTCTGTCTTCTTTTGAGTAGTATATTTAATTCAAAAGTTAATTGGGCTGCCAATAAACCGAGCAGGTAAGCATCTTTAACATTTTAGCAAACAAATAAATGATTAAATAGATAGTGCCTCATGCTCGCAACCACGAGAGTGATTTTTTATGTTAAATGCAAAATGTACATTATCATTTTGGAAAACGTAAACTCTGCATAGTTGTCTTATAATGTCATCATGTCTCATCTTATGACTTGTCAAGACGAACTAAGATAGTCGAAGGTAACTGTGGCGCCCAAGTCTGAGATAGCCAAGGGAACAACCAGGTGCCACGTTATACTTCACCTTCAAGTCTTTTACAAATCTCAGTACATCAGTGTTGGTCATGAAGGTGTGTCGAGGCATTGCAGCGTTATTGGTTTGTGTCGTGGGCGTCACTGCTGCTGATCTTTGTTTGGTGAGTGATCCTACAAACATTACATTCAGTAGAAGGTTGGAAACTAGTCACCGCATGGAGAGTCCTATTTACCAGCAATGTCTTCCGCCGTATTCGGCAAGACCCGTGTATACCTATGCCTATCTAAAAATGAGACAATTACAGTGAAACCGTTTAACTTGAACATCTTTAAAGGTATTCATCGAGTCGTATTAAAAGCCTGGAAGACCTGAAGTAACACGTTGCCTGAATATGTCACAGTGGAATCACCCTTTCCCCTTTCTGCACTAAAGGAACCTGTTAAGATCTGGGGTGGAATAGGTCTTCAGCAACCCATGCTTACCGAAAAAAGGCCACTATGCTTGTCGTAGAAGGCGACTGATCAGATGGTCAGACTCGACGACTTAGTAGATGCATGTCATCGTATCCCAATTGCGTGTGGGTACAATGTGTGAAGCAACGCCGTGATATAGCTGGAATATTGCTAAAAGGGGCGTAAACCGCATTCACTCACTCACTCCCAAAAGCGTGGATCGATGCTCATGATGTCAATCACTGGACTGTCTGGTCCAGACTTGATTATTCACAGACCGCCGTCATATAGTTTTGTACCCATGTCGGGAATCGAACCCGAGTTTTCGGCGTGAATAGCACACGCTTTAACCACTAGGCTACCCGACCGCCCTTATTTAGAAGGAATAAGGAGAAGTACCCAATTTGAAGAGAATTACCTATGTTCTCTGTAAACACAAAAATAACTTCTTAAGTGTCTGAATATTAACGTGATACCAAGGTGGCATTAATTATTCACACTCTGTATTGAATTGTGCATCCGTCAGTGGCTATTTGCATTTTCTGTAAGAGACGTTTGTCTAGCGATAACAGTACATGAACTCTCTGTTTCAGGATTGACAAGAGGACACTACCACTGCTGAGCCAGTAGACCTTGTTCTGTATTATGAGTCTATGTGCCCCTACTGTCGCGCGTTCATCACCACCCAACTCTACCCTACCTTCACGGCTCTGCCTTCTCGTGTCCTCAATGTCACAATTGTGCCCTACGGCTTTGCCAGGGTAGGTATTCTGTCTTCTTGTGTTCTTGGGGTCACAATAGTTCCGAGCGGTAACGCCAAGGTAGGTATTATGTGACAATTAATAGTATGTGGCAATAAGTTACTAGACTAGTGATGACACTTACAGACAGAAAAATAGCCGAATATCTGCTATTTTACATATTAAACTGTTTCAGGGAAGGCAGCGAAACGGCATCTGGGAGTTCACCTGTCAGCACGGCTCCGAGGAGTGTCTTGGTAACATAATCGCCGTGAGTTGAGAATCTTAACTTTTGATGTTGAATTTCCAAACACGCACGTTCAGTGTAACTCTTCAATTTTCGATGACATCCTGTGACATTGTGAAAGAGTAAACCTTGAGATCAGAATGCATCTTGTCATCAGTGTTAGTTAAGAGAACAATTTATAGATCTCTTTGGACAAACGGTAACTTTGTATTTTCTTTTCAGTCGTGTGCCCTGAAGCATACCTCATATAAAGCCAGAGACTACATGCCGTTCATCAACTGTATGGAGGCCAGCACGGTTCATGGTCACGAGTTGACCGCCTTACACAAGGTACCCGTCTTTACCCTTTGTGTCAGAAGGCGTCACCATATTTTCACCTTGGATAGGTCAAGACCAGCCTGATCTTCTAGTGCTGTTGGATCTACTACGCGATGGCTGAATCTGGCAAACGTTAACGTGCATGTGACTATGCAATGGCTGCGTCCGTAATGTCTTGCCGTATATACACGTGCATGGAACTCCGTCAAAGTAGCGGTGAGGGTTGCTCGTAAGAGTGCACGTGACTACGTGAAGGTTGTATCGTACGTCTAAGGGACCACCGTGTATGGTAGCTGCGTCCGTGGTTGCAATAAGGGGAACGGGGTGGATGTTGGGGTTGTACAGATCTACCGTCTTTCTATGGATCGTACATGACGTTATGACGGACATGTTGAAATATGTCCTCTTTAAGTAGCACATGACGTTATCAGATGGGGGTCAGTTGCAATTTCGTCAAATGGAGGTTTTTCATAAAACTTGGATAGACCAGCCTTATCTTCTAGTTCTGTTAAATCGGTTGTTCCCCTCCTCCAGTAGTGGGCTTTAGCATCTAGTATGGCATGCCTGGACAGACAATCCAGAGATTAATATCATGAGCATCGATCCACGCAATTGGGATCAATGACATGCATCAACCTAGTCAGCGAGCCTGACCACCCGATCCCCCCAGTCGCCTTTTACGACAAGCATAGTCGCCTTAAGGCAAGCATGGTTTGCTGAAGACCTATTCTACCCCGTATCTTCACGGGTCCTATGCAATCACTGTCGTTGAGTCAATAGTTGCAACACGGTTGCAATGAGGAACGAGGTGGGTGGTAGTGGTGGTTGCAATGAAGGGTGAGTGGTGGTGGCTGCAATGAGGTGAGATTAAATGGGTTTAGCCTCCCGTTCAAAATTATTGCATCGTGCATGCAGTATGTGTTTGTGTGGCTGCTTGTACTAGTCTGGACTGATGCCGATTTTAAAGTGCTAGCCCACTGAGATACCATGTCGCAGGTTAACATGAATACCCCACTCAGACACAGTATACTGACTCCGAGCCGACCAGTCCTTGTTTTACCCACTAATGAGGATCACCAAACAGGGTAACAACAAGTACCTTTTAACATTCGATCAACCCGGGCCTTCTGCTCTCCAGGCGGACGCTCTACCACTAGACCATTGAGGCGGTCGATGAAGGGAATGAGGTTGGGGGTGCATCCATGGTTGCAATAAGGGGAAAGGGCTGGGTGGTGACAACCTAGCTGGGGTACCTTGATTAATCCCAATGGTCACTTGTAAGTTAAGCTGAACTATCGTTGTTAGCGATCTATAGCCTGAATGCTATTTTGTGTCATTTTATAGTTGCATCTTTTTCACTCTGGCACAACAAGGCTTAACTTCCCACTAGACGCACTCACTCACTCACTAGCTATTGGACATAGTGACCCTCCTCATCGCCATTTCAGTGTGCAGCTGCAAACAAGATTTCAGAGGCCGACATATCGACTTGTTTGAAGAATAAAGATGGCAAAGACTTGTTGCACCAGATGGCGCTGACCACACAGAGAGCGAAAATCCACTACGTCCCTTGGATTGTCGTGAATGGCCAACACACCACAAGCATACAGAACAGCGCCCAAGCAGGGTTAATGAGTTTTATTTGCAAGAAGTACACTGGGCTACAGCCAACAGCCTGTAAAGGCGGTTCACATGCATCAGTCATAGGGTGATGTCCTCCACAACAATATCTTTCAATCTTTGGCATCCAGCATTGACATTGGGGATATTAAAATATCTTTTGCGTCAGTTTTTTTTTACAAAGATACTTTTGTTTGTTTGATGTTTAATGCCGCACTCAGCAATATTCCAGCTGTATGACTGCTGTCTGTAAATAATTGAGTCTGGACCAGACAATCCAGTGATTGAACCCATGAGCATTGATTTACGCAATTGGGATACGATGACATGCATCAACCAAGTCAGCGAGACTGACAACCCGATCCTGTTAGTCGCCTCTTATGACAAGTATAGGCGCCTTTAATGGCAAGATTGGGTTGCTGAAGACCTATTCTACCCTGGATCTTCACGGGTATTGATTTTGCAGTATCAAATTACAGTGCCTGCAAAACATACTGACATTCTCAAACAACTATTACCTTCATGGTGAGGTGAAATGTGGTTTGACGACCACGGTCAAGATAATGGCACTCATCTTGCTACCTGCATACACGTATGTGTGGCTGTTTGTACTAGTCTAGACTAATGCCGATTTTTTAGGGCTAGCCCACTGACATACCATGCCGCAGTTCAACATGAGTTCCCCACTCAGACACAGTATACTGACTCCAAGCTGTCCTTGTATTAGCCCCTTAATGCTGAGCGCCATGCAGGCAAACAACAAGTACTAAGGTCTTTTAGTATGAAGCGGCTGGGGATCAAACCCTTGACCTTCCGCTCTCTTGGCAGATGCTCTACCTAAATACCATGGAGGCGGTCTCATTCGACTGAGACCATGCCGAAATTGTTTCCATAAAAACATAAAAAAATAAAATTTTGAAATCGCAAAAGGCACCAGTTAAGCTGATGGGAAGTGCATATGCCAAGTTTCATTAAAAAAATATTGAAAGGTTTTCAAGTTATGGCGTACCTTCGTTTGTGACTAAGTTGAAACTGTTTCCATGGAAACAACAAAGAAGAACGAATTTGAAAAAAGCAAACAGCGCCAGTTAATATAATGAGCAATGCATATTCCAAGTTTCGTTGAACAATATTGTACAGACACAATTAACCAGCAGTCATGATGTAAATGCACACTGAAGTTCTGAACATCACAAAATTACACAATAAAGATATGGTTATTGATACGGAAGGTATTCAATTTCATAGCTGTATAATCAGTCATATCAGATTTCAGGCACTTACACAATGATCAAGGTAAAAAGGGATCCTAAATTATACATTTATCACTCTAAAGTGTGTTTTTCATTTCTGAATTTGTTAAGTTTGGGAAACATTTCAAACAAGTGTCATCCGAAGATGTCAAATCCACCCCGGTCTCCACAAATTTGACAGAACAATTCATCTGACTGTTACTTTAGGTCCAACTTTCTGAGAGAATTTCTATCATATCTGTCAGTCTGTATACAAGAGTAGTTATTGAGCTATCAAAACAATACCATGTAATTGGGCTTCGGAACTTTGTATTTCTATGTCAGGTACACACCACTATGAACAGAGTCAAAATCAAACTTGTTGCTATGGAAAAATAAAAATAAAAATGCTAAAAATCACCAAATAGCAAAAGGCACCATTTGATAACCTGGTCCTTGTGTGCACAGTTTCAAGCAAGAGTACCTATTAGTTTTAGAGATATGTTCCACCCCAATCAACAGAGTCAAAGTCAAACTTGTTGCCATGGAAACCGGAAAAAAATATTTTTTTAAAATAGCGAAATAGTGAGGGAACCACTTCAGACCTTAGTTATATACAAGTACCAAGTTTGGATGAAAATTGTTTAAAAGTTTTTTAGTTCTGCTCCAGAAACGACACCAACCACCATTTCAGCTAAGTCTTACTTGTTTCCATGGAAACAGGGAAAGATCAAATTTTGAAAAATACTAAATAGCAAAAGGCACCACTTCAGCCCTTGGTTAATACATGAACCAGGTTTGAATGAAAAGTCTTTCACACTTTTCAAGTTGTGCTCCGAAAAGTCTAAATTGTTTTAAGAATAAAACATAAAAATGCCAAAAGTCTGCAAATAGCTTAAGGCAGCACTTCAGGATCAACTTGATATATCTGCCAATCTTAGTTTAAAAATATTGAACGGTTTTCAAGTTACGATCCAGAAACGAAAAGATTACAGATGGACAGACAGACGGACGGACGGACAAGGCGTCATCTGTATCCCCCCCGCATTACATGCCTAGGGGATAATAAACATAAAAGCTTATTTGTGCAAAAAGTTGTTCTTTTGATGGGCAAACACAATCCCCTCACTTGCAGAAATTCTGATAGAATACCCAAAATCACTTGGAAGAAATTTGCAAATTCTGCCAACTATTCAAATTAGTTTGAAATGGGATTACTGAAGGACTTGGAAAAGAAATATGTATAATAATTTTTTATGCACTACTGAAGAAACTGAAAACAGGTGTAATGAGAACTGCAGTGACTTCATCAGTGATGTTCTGTCACACCAGGTGAGCTAAATGGCTATATCCATTTTGCAGATTATAGAAATTGTTTGAAAAGTCTCTACATAGATGTACATCCTATCTATTAAACAAATTAAAGAAATGCTACTTACTGAATGGAACACAAGAAGTATTTTTCAGTAAATCATGTTTTGCCCACCTGTATTTTTTGGCTTTGAACAAAACTAACCTGGACAAACCATTAGCTTGTGTCATACAGTATGAACCAGCATCACTATATTCGACATCCTAACGTCAAAGGAGAGAGTGAGTTGGGTTTAACACCGCTTTTAACAATATTCCAGTTATATCACGGCGTGTCAGTTTAATGTGAGAGGAAAGCCCGAAGTGATGCAGGTCTCAGACGTTTACCACTTCGGTGAAACCCACGAGCACAGGTATGTTGCTGACAAACCTAGAAACATAATCGGGGCGAACCGGGATTCAAACCCATAATCATAGGTTTCTGGCGTGCCCAAGGGACGCAACTCTGCACAGCGAATCGCGGCGCCTTAGACAACTGGGCCACCCGTGCCCCCTAACGTCAAAGGAGCTGCTGCATATGACATTATCATACTCCATACTTCACTGTCTTCATCATCTCATCATAGTCATGATAGGAAGGACATTTCTTCACTTATATGTTTGAGAGACAATTTGCAAACATACATATACAGTAAAATAAAGCTATTTGCATCCTGAAGAATCCCAGTTTATTTTTTATAAAAATAATGAAGCAAACAAGTCTTTGATGCCTTTCCCAGGGAGGAATAATCCTGAGCGCCACAGGAAGATACAATGATCTATCCTCAACCGTTCTTACAACATATGCTTATATATCTCATTCTGACAGCAGAGCTACAGATAAGCAGCGTATTTGCATAAAATACCCCCAATAATATTAATTCAAAACCCAATTACTTTCAATTAACTTGCGTACAGAAATCCATGCATTATATGAAAAACTCAAACGTACAAAAACAGAATGCGTAAATACCCAATGAAGTTTTTTCAGCATGTACATGGAGCTAATTTCCGAAGCACAAATACGAGCTAATTTACATTCTGTGTCAAGCCTATATATTTAGAACAGTTATCATGGTTATGTACATCTAAAACATTCTTTCTTTTTTTTAAAATCCTAAAGTGTTCACTCTTTTGGGGGAAACCCCAATAGAGTGATGAACAGATGAGTGGAAAAATATTGGTTACCCGATGAAAAATGTAATAACCCAATCAAAATAGAAACCCAAGAGTAAAAATTCAATTGCTCAAAAAGTCATCTGGAGCTCTATGACAGTTAAATACATTGAATCTTGATGCAAGCAACAAATATCTCTGAGATTGTAATGTTACATTATCTTGTAACTTGAAGGAATATTAAGCACTATTTGAACAGTTTGAATTTCTTGAAATATTTCTGCACCTCCTGTTTTGTGTAGGGCTTAGCTGCCACACATGTTGCAATGTCCTCTGGTTGCTCCATCCACAGTTTGTGCTGGATTCCATCTTGTGTCAAACTCTCCGATAATTCTCGGAGACTCTCTTCATTTTTAGCCTGAAAAAGAATTTTCCACTGTATGTTTAGGAGCATTACAATAGAAGATGGCAACTGTCACATACATGAGCTAGATGCATCACAGTTCAGGCTGGCTTCAGAGCATCTTTCAATGTTCAGTGGAAAACATGTAGCTGTAACTGGAGTTATCTCCCATGTATCACACGTCATTTGTTAAACACCATCGAGCTTGACCTACTGCAACAAATAATATAACAAACCTTGCTGGTGTAGCGGCCATAGAATTTCTGAGTCCCGTGATGGGGATCGAACCACTGACCTTCTGATGAGGTCGGACGCCTTGTCCACACGACCAAAGAGGTTAACCCCCCTTCAGCAAGCTGACAAGGTAAGGATGTCATCTGTGGGATGACTCCACGCCCTGCTACATACTCCCCCGTCAACAGAAGGCACGTCCCTAGCCGCATAGTAGGGTACTGAGACTTAGTTTGCTTAAATTTAATATGAACGTGCTCAGCCCCGCGTTGGGCGCCAATGTAGCAGCCATAAAATTTCTGAGTCCTGTGAAGGGATTCAAACCATGGATCTTCTGATCAGAGGTCAGACGCCTTGTCCACATGACCAAAGAGGTTAACCCCGTCAGCAGGCTGACAAGGTAAGGCATGTCATCTGTGGGATGACTCCATGCTCTGCTAGACTGGGTTAGACAGGCAAGATTGAGTAGCTTATTATGCTTATAAAGGGAGCTGCCACAAAGCTGGAATATTGCTGAGTGCAGTGTTATACAACAAATGAACAAAACAAATATAAATAGGAGCTAAGCTTAGTCCCAGCAAATTTGTCATTCAAAACTCACTTTATTTGTAAACATTTTTTATTGCAGATCAGTATTGCAGTTAATGATCACCCAGTTTGACAAAAGACACTAAATACAATGGTTAGGCCTTGACTGGAGGGGGCGCCAAACCATAAGGTTCCTCGATAACCAAGTTTATTATTTATCGTACTAATATTATCCATACTTATTCGAAAAAATTTGAGAAAATTTGGCAACGATGCAGTTTACCGGGTGCAGCTTACATAGCGCTAATTGGTTTAGGCTGCCATCTTGGGCTCAGCTGTGGCTCCAGCTTTACAGATCTTGCGTGCCTCTTGGATGCTTAGGGTTAGTTGAGTGAGTGAGTGAGTATGGTTTTACACCGCTTTTAGCAATGTTTCAGCAATATCACGATGGGGGACGCCAAAAATGGGCTTCAAATATTGTACCCATATCGGGAATCGAACTCGGGTCTTTGGTGTGGCGAGCGAACGCTTTAAGCACTAGGCTATCCGACCGCCCCAGGGTTAGTTGAGTACAGTCAAGTCTCGTTAATCTGACATCGTTGGTTGCACATGATTGTGTCGGATTAACGAGTATGTCGGATTAACGGGACTAAATAGCACTGATTCAATCGGTTCCCATCATTTGTGTCGGATAAAGCCGAGTGTCGGATTAACGAGTGTCGGATTAACGAGACTTGACTGTAGTTGGTTACTCCCAACTCCTTAGCCCTTGGTTCCCTTATCCAATCAAGCACCCCATTACGATCATCATTGTTAATGATTACATACTAGACTTGTTTGATGTTACATGAAATGTAATTTACCTCCAGAATGACTTTATGCATGCTATCAAGATCGGATAAATACTGTTGAGTCACTTCATCTTGGTAAAACGTGTGTATTGCTGCAGTGCAAGCATGACATGCTTGTGCGATTAGGGCACCAGTTGGCCATTTTAATGCACTAATCAAGTCACCCCTTACAACAACATACTGCACGATAGTCGAAGACATTTTTTAGTCTCTATGTACATCAATGTGACCGACCAAGTTTGATTAGCGTACAATGATCCACGTTTCTTGTGGAAGCTGCCATTATCATTCCGCAGAAATTGCCGGTCTTTAATTTGATTGGTTCAAACCGTATACTGTACTTGACAACATAAAGTGGTGACGTTCTTCGCAGAAGTGTATATGAAAATAAGCAGGTTGTGTTAAGGTAGGTCACATCTGGAACTTTACGATGCCGTAAGAGCCGTGTGCGCATCCAATCGTAGACGAAGGCATGTCTATACACCTTTGTCTCAGACTGGCCGGTGTTGTTTGAATTCTTTCCTATTGATAAATATTTGACACGCAGTGGAAAACACCGTGGTATCAGTCCATAAACACCCAACAGTCAACCTCAGCAGGTTATGGTAACATTGGTTTATTAGTAATCAGTATGAGTGTATTGTTTACAGTAGCATAGCACCATTGCAGCGTATTTTTTATATGACAGTTCTCTTAAGAGGTGTGCCACGGACTCTCTTTTTAGGCATTTTACTTATTTGTGTCTATTATTTTGAGATATACCCTTTTAGCCTAATTTGAAAGGAGACCTCAGTAACATATGGTCATTAGATATTTAGACCCCAAGTAATGTTTACAATGTGTAATGATGTACCTGGTTTGACTTGATGCACACCCTGTGTTCATAGTATCAGTTGTTATCAATTTAGTATTATCAGTGATCATTGAACTTACATCTACTGTTGATAAGGTGATTTTAGATAGGCCTATATGTATGATATAGCAACAATAACGACATGTTTGCACATTCACAAAAATGATTTCCTGGTATTTACTTTTTTTGTATCAATGTGTTTTTAAATGTTGAAAGTAATAATTGGAATGTTTTTGTCTTTTACATGTTTTTGGCTTGTTCAGCATGTCAACATGTTCCCATTGATAAATTTACTTGAAGCCCAGTGTCAGGTATTACTTACAGCCCCAGCTGTGGTATATACCATGCATACTCATTACTGACATGATTGCTGAATAAAGATCAGCTTATGCATCTTTTATTGCAACAGCTATTGTTGTGTGTGTTTCTTGCAAAGGAGACATGTCCTTTGATACCAGCTTTACAGATAAGCTGTGTATTTGCGTAAAAATATCGAGTGAAATACCATGTTTCTCTCATCGAGTGATGGTGGAAAGGAGATATTTTCATGAGTGGTGTAACCACAAGTGAATCTATCGCCATTTTCCCCATCACGAAATGAGAGAAACATGTTGTTTCACAAGACACACGGAATATCCTGTTTATTATATACTTTTTGTGTGGTTGTCTGCCAGAAAATTAGATTATTTCATTACAAATGTAGAACCTTTAAACCTAAATCTCCCAACCTTACACACAGACATTTCACCACTCCTTGTGTTAATTTGTGACTTAAAAAGTAGTTCCGTGTTTGCAAAATCTTAAAACATATAAACAAAAGTAACAAATAATATTTAGGGTCACAAAAAATCTTTATCATACTATTTTCATATGATCTTATACAAAATCAACTTCAACAAAATATATTCTTGAAATCTATGAGATCGCTATTAGAAGCGAAAGAATACACACTGGTCAAGCTACAAAAATGGCAATTTGTGAAAAGACCAGTCTCGACTGAGTTAAATGAGAAATTTACATCTTTTTACGAAACATTTTTAAGAGAATAACAAATGTCAGGAAGTGATATTTACTGAAATTATTTTGCCTTAATGTGGAACTAATGTGAAAATGAAGTCAAGAGTTTGTGTACAGGCAAGACACTTACAAGCTCCTCACAGCAATATCACGGAGCTCTCTATACTATCGCTGCCAGCAGTGAGAGCTCCCCACTGTGAAAAATGGCTAAAATCATGCTTGGAGTTGAACTTGCAACTGACTGACCGTTATGTTTACAAACAAGTGACCCAGAATACTTTTACCCCTGCTAATTTATTTTCTTAGTTTGACAAATTGAATTACTGTTTCATTACAACTATCATGTAATTGGTATAGTAAGAATGTAAGGGGGAAGTTGGTTGATTTTCCTTTCGTGTGCAATCTCGAACCAATCTGATCAAACAAGCAAAAAGGTAATTCAAATGGGAAATATTGTCAGTCGTAAACCTTTGCAAAATAAACCGTGATGGCTTCCCAAAGACATAAACAAAAGTATAAACATTACTATATATTGGGTCAGAGGGCAAATTTCAAGATTCTTGTTATGGCCACACCCACACTGGTGGCAGCAATTTCACAGAGAGTGTAATGAATGTGTCACACGCTGGGAAGGAGCTAGAGACACTTACAATAAAGGGAGACAATTTGCAGGGAGGTACCGTATTCAACGTAATAAGCGCCCCGCTCTAATAAGCGCCCAAGGTGATATTTGCTAATATATTGGCATGTGAACAATCCCAATTAGCACCCCTTCTGATTGATCAATGTAAACAAGACTTATTCATTCGCGTTTAATACGGACTCCTGTGATATATGCACCATTAATTATGGGCAATTAAATTCTGGAAAAAATATATCTGCCGTACATACTAGTATACATTTCAGGCTGTAAGCATAAACCACGAATTTATCTTTCAACTCTGTTTTTTTTCCACCAAAATAATATTTTAATAAGAGCGCCCTGGGCGCTGATTACGTCGAATACGGTAACTCTTGTATGACAAAAGTTCTGTCAAATTGTTATGTTCACAACAGTGAAATATCAAGTGTTATGTTCACTGCAGTTAAATACCAAGTGTTAAGTTCACTGCAGTGAAATGTCAAGTGTTATGTTCACTGCAGTAATTGATATACATTCAGAGCTCCAGATAACTTTTTGAGCAATTGAGTTTTTACTCTAGGGTTTCTATTTTAATTGGGTTACATTTTTCATTAATATTTTTTCACTCATCTATTCATCACTCTGTCGGGTATTTCCCCAAAAGAGTGAACACTATAAGTTTTTAAAAAATGAAATGATATTTTAGATGTATATAACTGTTCTAAATATATAGGCTTGACTCGGAAAGTAAATTATCTCGTAACTGTGTTTCGGAAATTAGCTCCTTTGTAGGCATGCTGACAAAGCTTCATTGGGTATTTATGCGAGCTGTTTTTATACATTTGAGTTTTTCATTTAATGCATGTGTTTCTGTACACAAATTCATATTTTTTTATTTTTTTTGCGGGGGGGGGGTATTTTAGGCAAATCTGCTGCTATCTGTAGCTCTGTACATTTTCATGTGTTGTACTTGGTTTGACCCAGACACTGATAAAAAATGTAGGGTGATGATCATGATGCACTGTGTTTCATTATATAAAATATGTCTGATATAAAATAACATACCCTTCTGTCAACAATGGTCGTCTTTGAAATTAAGAATGAAAGTCTTAGGGTCATTTTTTACATAATTCTAATGGTTTGAATTAATTTTGTGGAGTCAATAAGTATTTTGACAGGACATCACAACTATATATGATTATGTGCCTCCAAATCATGACTACAATAATTGGATCATGTTAATATTGTTAGTAAAAAGACATTGTGTGTTGTATGTCAATCTTAATTGTAGAGTGTTGTTCATTTCGTCCAAATAGTAAACTCACAATTTATTTCCTGATAACTCAATATGATATAAATTTATGGGTCACATCTAGAATTATGGGTGATATTGTTTCAGTTTGGGGTCATACAATGAACATGAGGTACTATATTGTTTATCATTTGGTTAGTCTTTATTAGTCCACAGTAGTTCTAGTTGTATTGGCAGCCTCATGTCAAGCTATTGTCACGGCACTTGATGAAGTCAAAAATAACTACCTAGCATGAAGATCACAAATCTCTTTACAGTCCCTGAAACAAATATATAAATATAGCCCATACAAGTCTATAATATTTGGCAAGTCTAGATTACTGCAGTATCTGAAAATGAAGATAGTCTCTGGGCTCCTTTTTATTATATTTTATAACTCTAATTTAACAACTGTAATAAATGTTCATATCAGAGACTAGATGTTAGTCAAGAAGATCACCTAAGTCTGTGAGAACCCAAAGTGTGTACATATTTATATCATATGTACCGTATTCGACGTAATAAGTGCCCGGGGCGCTCTCAAAATTAGAAATAGGGGGCTCTTATTAGAATATAATTTTGGTGAGAAAAAAAACAGAGCTGAAAGATTGTACATTTCGTAGTTTATGCTGACAGCCTGAAATGATACAAAAGAAAAGTATGTGCGTATCCTACACGACAGATATATATATTCCAGAATTTAATTGCCCATAATTAAGGGTGCATATAACACACGAGTGCGTATTATACAAAATCCAATAGGTCTTGTGTACATTGATAAATCGGAAGGGTGCTAATTGGGATTGTTCACTAGCCAATATATAAGCAAATATCGCCGTGAGCGCTTATTAGAGCGGGGCGCTTATTACGTCGAATACGGTATATGCATTGTTATAGATTACCCTTCAAGGTATCAAAATGAATGAATTAGAGTTAGTTTTAATTAACTCTAGGAATTTTCTGACATGGACCCTCTATCGTCTATGTGAACATTTGAAATATTCCAGAGGTATGCCCATACAACACAATGTTAAAATGCCCCATTGTATTTGAAAATGTGGGAGCTAAAAGCACCCCACCCCACATGAAGTGTTACATGTCTAATAGAAATAACAATGCAATAGTGCACCGCTAGACATGCTAGAGAAACTGCCATGTGAACACATGTCTTGTAAGTGCATCAAATCCTGATAATGTCATTACGAGGAAGGAGATCCCATGGGGGCCCAGACATGCAACACATGCAGCTAATGAAACAGTCGTTATTCTCATTGACTCGGTGAAGATGGGTCTTCTATCACTTTGTGGAAGGTTTTGCTGTAATTTATTGGACGAAACAGAGAATTGGTTTATTTTCAATGTTTTTAATGGTGTGATACTTTCACGATTGATGCAACTTGGTAGAAAAAAACTGACAATAGCATATGTATCAAACAGGTATACTGTATTCAACGTAATTAGCGCCAACGGTGATATTTGCTAATATATTGCCTTGTGAACAATCCCAATTAGCACCCCTTCCGATTGATCAATGTACATAAGACTTATTCATTCGCGTATAATATGCACTCGTGTGTTCTAACCAACCTTAATTATGGGCAATTCTGGAAAGATATATTTGTC